GGCGTCACACCTCACTGTTTTTCCATCCCTGAGCAACGTTTACTTGTCTTCTTTTTCTTCTGGCTTTGCATAACTGCTTGTTTTTATTCATCTACGTCGTTAATTTTAGATTTTATTCTTCCACCAAACCAGAGGTTGGTGTTGTTGTTTGGAACCTAAACAGGAGCTTTTTAATTTTTATCCTTGTTTCTGTCCACCTTTAATGAGTTACGTTGATCTGAGGTAAAATGGTGTTTTCTCTGTCTCCTGGTTGTTTTCTGGGTGGAGAGGTGATGTTACTTTCGGCTGGTTTGTGGTTTAAATAAAGTCTATCTCTGTAGGGATCGCTTTCATAATGCTGTCACACACTGACAATAACAAGCTGAGTCTGTCAGTATAGGAGATTAAACAAAATAGCTGATTTGTATTGGAATCAATACAATCAACTAACTTGTTAGTTGTGAAAAACAACATCTCTAGCATGATGTACCTCACTACTACCACTGATACTCCATGCTTCTTAGGCCACGCAGTCGGATGGTTGGCAATGTCCATGGTGATAAGTGGTATGTCCGTTTGTAGCCGCTTGTGTTTGGGGCTCTATACCAGATGAGGCGAACATGCCACTAGTGGAGGAGCGCAAGTCCACGTTCAGGAGCGACACCGGAGAGGATGATGTGCCTTGTCTGAGAGACAAGATCAGACCAGAGGAGACCATTGATCAGATCAGGATCATTGCGCAGGGACAGGCATTGACAGACGACAGGTAAAAGGAATCTCACCCTGAAAACTTGGCGACTATATAGGGATTTGCAATGGAGAATTTTTAAATTAACGAGGTTGCGTGTCCAGTGGCATTCGAAGTGCATCCTAGTGGTAGGTATGTTTCGCAACGGGTCCCGGCACGCGAGGAGAACGCGCTCTCTCCATTGAAACGGACGTGAACGTCTTCAGAGGAAGAGCCGCTTTTAAAACTTCTCGCTGGTGGGTCTGGCGGTTTTCATATAACACGAAATCCACTGAGTCTCTTCTTTCTTCCCTGAAAGCAACAAAGACTCGCCCGATCTGACAGGATTTATTACACAGGTTTAAAACTAGCGGACTCTAATTTGTAGGAGTTCAACTGCGATCCATAAGAGTGGGAGATCACTGGTTTGTTTGCTCGTGATAATTCTCTCTATTAAAATGTTTCCTTTAAAGCTTAATCAGTACTGTCTCATTAGTGGTATAGATCTGGTTATGTTTATATGTTTGAGTTTCTTCATTATTCATGTTTATCCGATGTCAAACTCAGAAATCTTGTATTTTATTCAGGTACTTGCGTTTGGTTGCCCTTGTGGTGCGGCCACATGGTCATATCTTTGTGGTCTGCGTCAGTGTCGTGGTTGGTCTTGCCGAAGCTTTCATACATTTGACTTTTTTTCCAGGTTGAAGGCCCATGTTTTGTAATCATTTGTTAGATTTGGGGTGCTTTTTTTAACTCTAGATTTTGGAACGGGATGGAGGATTTAGTATCGGAGTCTGGGGATCTAAGTATTCGAGACAGCTGAAGTTAACGTGCAGTCGGCTATGGCTGGACGTTCTTCTGTCTTTCACAGCCGTGGGGAAGCAGTTGATTTTTAGGTGGATTTTTTAAAGGGGGAATTTTGCATTGTCAGCGCAAATCTGTTTTAGAATTATGAACATTTAACCAGTTTTTACATAGGTAAAAAGTTGTACAGTGTGTTGGGCGGAATAAGGGCGTCTCGCATTGTACAGGACAATTGGTTTCAGGTCTAGACACGTGACACACTGTGGTCGGCCACAAGGTTTTTCAAGTGCTAAAATCTTGTTGCGACTTAGTTCTTTTTTCTTCATGTTTTTGAATCCGAGCACTGTGTAGTTTTTGTTCTGAACATGTTTTTTTTTTCTCTTCTTTGTTCAAGCCTAGAACCTTGGAGGGGGTTTGCACGGCGTTTCGCGCTCGTTACCTTGGATCAGTCGACAGGGGGGTGCTGGAGGGCGGGCTTACGGACCGGGACTTTTCATGAGGGTGAGACAGGCTGCGCTTCATCCATTGCCTGCCAGGGAGGGAGGCCGTTTATTGTATCATCCGAGTTAGCAATCGTCATTGGTTCTCAGTGGGATTTTCACTGGAGGTTCGGATTAATTGCGGACATAGGCTCCAACTTTTTTTGGTTTTGGAAGCATTGGGATCACAGAGTAAAACTAAGTGGTCATCTACTTCATTGTGTAAATCCAATCTTAAATCAGCTAGATTTGAGGTATGCCAAGGTTGTTAAAGGCGGACGCGACGTTTGTACGTCTTTCTCTGTGTTCATTACTTTTGTGCACGCTTTTTTAAGCGGTTAAAGCTTAAAATTTCCACAGGGAGGTTATTTACTGCATTTTTTGAATTCTCAAATAACATTATCACCTGATTTCGGGTGAGGGGGGCCAGAGGCTATGCTCTTTTTCAGTTTAAGGACTCTTCTTGCAGCTCTCCTAATTCTGCTTACAGATCATTAGCTTTTCATTTAATCTCATGTCATTTTGTTTGTTGTTGTTTGGTGTCAGGTGAACGGCGGCGTAGTTGAAGGTGGTCCCGGCGGTGTCTCTCTGATACTAAGGGTGGAAGTCGACTTGCTGATGAAGTCGTATTGCTCCAGAATCTGAATTCGCTGGTCAGGGAGAGGTTTTCTCCACTTTTTATTTCATATTATTCACTTCAAGATATTTTTATTTTCGTTTCACATTCACATTTGGGTTATAAGTAAGTTTTAGTAGTTCATTAATAAATGATTAGATATGATCTTAATATTATTTATATTACGATATTACTGGAGCTGCATAGTTCATCGTTCGGTTCACAGAATGTTATCATATCATATACTATCATTGTTTCCTCTCGATTACCTTATATGTCTGGTGCATGTGAAGTTATTGACAATACAGCTGACTTTGACTTTGATGGTGTGAGCACTGCACTGCCCCCTGTTGGTCATTCAGAAGGTCCCTCTGTCTCGTACCTGTCTCAGCTCAGATGGCGGATCAGTTTTAGGGTCTGGAACTCCGTTTTCGACGGGGTGAAGCTGCGACTGCATCACCTTCCTCTGCTCGTAGTGGACGAAGATCACCTTCTCCTCCTCCTCCTCCTCATCTTTGTCGCCTCCAGCCTCTCCATTCTCAGTCTTCTTCTTGGCCTCCCGTTGAACTGCTCGCCCACCTGGTCGGGACAGAGATTAATTCATGAGAAACTCCTGAACACAAAGTCCAAATGAATCCACCTAAAATCCTGATGCAGCCTCTTTCGGATTAAAACGGACGTTTTGAACTTTTAAACAGTCAGAAATGGATTCAGCATATTGTCCTGATCGACCAAACTGTAGCTGAATTATTCCATTATCATTATTAATTCTAATAGTCCAACATTTACCAGCTAACATCTGTATTTCTGAACGCTGGGGACCCAAACTGAACATTTCTAACGTTAATCTTTGAAGTACTCAACGTTTCCGGGTTCACGTAGATCATAAACTGAACCCTGGTGATGAGGATTTTGTCCTGAACCTGCAGTTCTGCTGTATAAACCCAGTGAGCGTCAGCCTGAGGGTCTTACTCTGATCCCGGTCGAGGATCTGGCAGGTGAAGCCCGTCTTGCCGATCTCGCGGTTGATCTGGAGCCAGCGTTCCTGGGGGAAGATGGTGCTGAGGTCCCTGAGGAAGCTCTCCATGCCCTCCTGACCCTCTTTGGGTAAACTCCACGAGCCCAGCACCGACAGCTCCACCCCACTCTGGGTCTGCATCTGTGGGGGGGGAAAGGACGGAGGAGTGTTACCGTAATCTCACCGTAGGTTTGGATGGTTCTTCCCGCTCTCGCCCGGCGCTGCACTGACCTTGTGGATGTACTGTTTGACCTGCCCGGGGATGAACGGGTAGTGGATGACCGCCAGCACCACGGCAGAGTCGTGGCCGGAGATCCAGCGGCCGACCATCAGTCCGCTGTCGGCCCGGTTACAGCACTGCGGGAAGAAGACCTTCAGCACCATGACTGCAGCTCGGGTTGGGGGGCCTCCAGCAGCTCTGATGATCTGAGACGACACAACAACAGGTCTGGTTCTGGTTCTGGTTCTGGTTGGTGCTCGGGACGGATTGACTTCATAAAGACTCAGTTACAGTCAACAAAGCAGCAGTGAGTTAACAATATGTAATATGTGATATATCTGCATTAAACAGTGTATAAACTCTAGTGTGTAGCTGATTTAATCAATAATCTATAATCAATAAACAGTGGATAAACTCTAGAGCTATGTTCTGTGTATTTATATTCTCCAAAATGTTTCCAACAATGTTCAAACTCAGAGAAATCTCTCATTTTACTCAGCTGCTGAAGACTATTTCTTCTCAGTTATATTGTATTTGTGCTACTCACATCCAATAAATCAGTTCATACCTGATGCCGAATTGAAGAGGAGCTCCTTATCGATCATAAACGATATTCCTGCTGTAAAAATGTCTTTATTGATCAGAGCGACGGCGGGAGAAACGTAAAATCTCCCGGTTTGTGAAGGGAGTCCGGTGAACGTATCTGAACTGGACGGGTGACCTCATCTGATGCCCTTCACGTACTGAAGCTCGTTGTTGTGGCAACACAAAAAGCCCGCGAGCGGGATCGATATCAGTGACAGTGACGTCGATGAGCAGATCGATCAGGGGAAAGTAGGTTAACAGACTCCCGGGAAAGAGTTTAATATTTAACTCACAGTGCTCATTGAACAGATTAAAGTGGTCAAAGTGAGTCCGGTTCCCGCCGCGGGGCCGTCGGACTGCACGAAGACAGAATGTGAGCGCGGGAAAATAATATTATTTATTTACCTTCTTTATGAGTTAGAGGAGACCGCAGCCATCTTTATTGTTGACAGTCCAGCGCTTAAAATGCTCCGGAGAGAAACACGTTTATAAATGTTCCGCTTATAGACGGTCGAGGTTCCTTTATTAAATTAACTAAAGTAATACGATAATACATTATAGTATATACTATAGTATTAACAGCTCTAATATTACTATAATATACTACATTAATACTTTATTACTATAGTATAATAATACACTATAGTATCACTGCATAAAATAGTGATATGTAGTGATATGCTATACACTTTAATATATATATATTATAGTGTATATAAATAGTAAATAGTATAGTAATAGGCTATAGTATATACTATATATTTAAGTATTACTATAAGAACTGTATTATGTCCTAGTAGGTTTGTTGTGTTGTATAGTAGTTTTTTTCTGTAGTATTTAATTTCATTAGTAATACTATCTCTCTAGATCTTTGCAGTATTCATATACTGTTTTAAATAGTATTACTATATATTATATTACTGGTATAAAGTGTTTCTGTAGTTGTTTCTGAACGTACTATAAAACATTAGTAATACAATAATGTACTTTGGGAGAGTTTCTCATTATAATGACTTACAGAATCATTTTTATGATAATAATGATACCAATAATAATAATAATAATAATAATAATGTTACTCACCAGTGAACGTCCACTGTGTGCTGCTGTGAGGGTTGTTGGTAAATGAGGAGTTGGCCCAACTGTAAAGACATTTATCTCCTCCTGCAGTGACACAGCAAGAAAAGAGCGGGATGAAAACCTCCGACTCACTAAAAATAACAAGAATATTATTGACAGTTTATTCGCATCAAACACTCAATACTTTAAAAGCATTTAGTGTTAGTATTTTATTATAAATGAACATATTTAAAGGTTATTTAACATTTTCAGCTGGAACTTTTACTATAAATCTTTCAGAAATCTTAAGTATAAATTAAAGATGATATATTTGATTAATATTCCATATATAATATAATGTTTAATTTGTTTATTTATATATTTTTTTCTATTTTATGGGTTACTGCTGCTTTCTATACATTTTGTTCTCATACGTTAATATTTTAATATGAATTATTTTATGGGTTAATGCTGTTTGGATTATTTCCAGTAAAGTTTTTACAAATGCAAAGTCTGTATGTTGTTTTTATTCAATTAAACAATAAACTCATTTAGATTCAATTAATAAAAACTACACTACCCAGGAGGTTTAGCGAGACATTGTCGCTATGCATTGTGTGTAATCAGGAAGTAAACAAAGACACGTTGAAGATGGAGCCTTCAGAACTGAGCCGAACTCCAGACGGGGAGATAAGAAATAAAACCGATATTTTACGGGACTTCCAGGTGTCTTTTTTCACCATGAGTCGGCTGCTTTCTTTCCCCTGGACGGTGAGTGAAACCTCACCCGGTCTCCATTCACTCAGAGCGAGCGCTGCACCAAACTCCATTCAAATAATCTCCAATTTGTGATTCGGCCCTCAAAAGGAAACGACCTCAGAGTCAGAAAGTGTCTGAAGTTATATCCACAGTTCAGCGGACTCTTCTGAGTAATCCGGCTCACAAATGATCCACCAGCAGGTCTGAATTCATAGTAATAACCTTAAAGCTTCTTCAGGTCTGGTCCCCCTTTGAGTTCTGGGTTTTACAATCTGAGATAAAATATGAATTTTAGTTCTTCAGTTGAGTTCAAATGTTTTATTTGTTACATACAGAAACAATGTGTTTAATACTTTAATGATTCTTTAATTAGAAAAAGAAATATGACTACAAATGCTACATATAAATTAGATATCAGTCTGTATTCATGTGCTAATTGAATAAAATAAATTTACATATTATGTAATTTTGATATTTTGTGTTGTTTTGTAACCCGTGGAAGAAATATGTTTCACATTTTAGTAGTTTTTTTTAATTAAGATTAAAGTCCAAATACTGAGATCCAGTTTAATCCACTTCATAATTAAATACTTTAAAACATAATTTCTACTTTTCAGTTTTTAGAAAAAGACCTTGAAAGCAACAAATCATCAGACCTGATTTCAGACATCTTAAAACAGGTAAGTGGGTTCAAACACAAACCTTTTAATTCCTTTATCATCACCATCACTTAATAAGTGTTCAATACAATGATCAATAATGTCTCTTCTGTGTCTGACAGACGTGTCTTCACTCTCTGTGCCGGAAGTTTCCTCCATCGGTCAGATTCAGGAGATTGTTCCTCTCTGAGCTCATCAGACGGGTCAGTCTGTCCCTGAACACGTCATCATAACTCTTTATATCTTTATATATTATAAATAATATTATATACTATACCTTTATATATATATTATATATCTTTATATATTATACATATTATATATTATAAATTATATCTTTATAAAAAATATACCTAATATCATATATTATTTTATATAAATAAAATATCCGTGAATTATTTTGAATTATCTCCTGGCTTTAACTGAAGTGTGTGAACTTTGACCTGTAGGTGGCGCTAAATAAAAAGCCTAATAAAGAGTCAAACATTTAACATAACAAACATTTCCCGTCAGTTTATCAGATATTTGTGGAGCCGTGAGCCGAAGCGTTGGATCGATATCGCGCTGTAACTTGCTGCTGTTGTCGTCTCTCCAGCAGGAGGCAGCAGACTGCGACCCTCTGGACGAGCTGTACGACGCTCTGGCCGAGGTGGTGGGAGCCGAAGACACGGCGGAGTGCTACAAGAGCTACTTACTGGTACCAGACAGTCGCTGCGGCGCAGGAGACACGTTTGTGTTTTATTCCTCAGAGCCGAATTGTAAAGGAAACTGACTGGAAGGGAAATCTGATCTATCTGATACCTGACGCGTCCCATTATGAGACATCAGACACATATTTCATGTCACCACCGCAGAAGTCAGGGCCCCACTTGGACCCCCGCCAGTCTTTCTGGACTGGACGATAGCTTTAAGAAAATAAACCCCTTGTATCGCTGAAGTCTGGATATTGAGTACGTGTGAAGCCCGAGTGTCGGCCACTGCAGACGTCTTTGTTATCTGAAAATAAACAGATGTTTGCTTTACAATATGTACGTCGGTATCCACGAGGGTTCTGCGTCTCTAGTTTAACTGTGGGACTGTGGTGGTTCTGTATGTGGTCCTGTAAGGCGTGCTGGAGTTGGATGTTCCTGGTGTTGACGTTCAGGTGTTTCTGTCCTGCAGCCCAGCGGGGACGCCGTCAGCCTGTTGGAGAACGTAGCTCTGATCTCAGAGGGGACCACCGGCCTGGTGACGTGGGAGGCCGCTCTCTACCTGGCGGAGTGGGCTCTGGACCACCGGCAGGTCTTCACCGGCAGGTATCCTCAAACTACCACAGGGAGAACTTCAGTCCTGAGACAAGGATTTGATTTTATTTAGCCTCTAAGATACCAGTTAAATCCGTCCCCGTCCCTTCCTGTCCTCGCCTGCAGGACGGTCCTGGAGCTGGGCAGCGGCGTGGGGTTGAGCGGTATCACCATCTGTCGCTCCTGCAGCCCGCGCAGGTTCGTCTTCAGCGACTGTCACCCCAGAGTCCTGCAGGCGCTGAGGAGCAACGTGGAGCTGAACGGTCTGACTCCTCCCAGCGTCGGCGTGGAGGAGGTGGACTGGACGGCGGCGAGCGAGGAGCAGCTGGAACGGATCGGAGCCGACGTCGTCATCGCCGCAGGTCAGAGTTCAGAGAGGACGCACAGCTGGTCCAAGTACCGCTAACGGGGTCGTACATTCACACACTGGGGGAGGTTGAACCAGCAAATGATCTTATCTTGTTCAGTAGTTTCATTTATAATAAAACCTGTTTTATAAACTCTTGAATGTTTCAGATAAATGTTCATGTGTGTACAAACTGAAGCTGTAGTTTCAGTAACTGTATTTAATCCGCTGTTCCCCCCCGCCGTGCAGATGTGGTGTACGACCCCGACATCGCAGGCAGTCTGGTGAAGCTGCTGTCCAGGATCCTGAGGGGTTCGTCTCCGGAGGTCTTCGTCTGCTCCACCGTAAGAAACCAGGAGACGTACGGCGGCTTCAAGCAGCAGCTGGGTGAGAGACGATCAACTACCCAACTGTAGGCTGTACACATGCTGCTGCTGCTGGACGCTGACTCTGGATCTGTTTTGTTTTGGCAGATCAGGAAGGAATCAGCCATCGTGTGATCACAGACGCCGTCGGCCGCGTGTTTCCGTACAGCAGAGACGGCGTTATAGAACTGATCCAACTGCACACGACCGCAGCACAATAAAGATTTTATTTACACAATGTATATCGTATCAAAGTCTCTTTTACACATTCAACTCCTCTGAAGTAAGAAAAACTAAACCCACACTGGAATGAAAAGTTAACCACCACCCATCCTCTCTCTTAGTGTGATAATGTCGTGTTCATTAACAGTCGACTCTGGTGTCCCTCAGGGAGCGGTGAGCAGAGGCAGGACGTTCTGGTCCCAGTTGTCGTCCCAGCGCTGCCCCCTGCTGGTGCGGAGGTTCCTCCTGAACTCTCCCAGTCTGCTGTCTGAGCGGGGGAACTCTGACAGGAGAGACTGAAACACACACACACACACACACACACACACACACACATATATATATATCAGACCCCGATCAGTGAGACCTGAACACAAAC